CAGCAGGCGGGTCAGGAGAGGTCTGCAGCACCAGGTGGGTCAGCTCCTGGTGGAGGGAGCTTGACAGTGCTGCGCTTTAACCCACTGCGCCACCAGGGAGGGCCCTGTACAGAAGCTTTTAATCTGATGTAGTTTCATTTATTTTTTATTTTGTTTCCCTTGGCCAAAGTCCCCAAAGACAGCATAGAAGCCAGTATCATGGAGTATTTGTCTATGTTTCCTACTATGCATTTATAGTTCCCGATCTTACATCCAGTTCTTTAATCTATTTTGAGTTCCTTTTGCCTGTGCAATGAGACGGTGGTCTAATTTCTTTCTTTGGCATGTGGCTATCCACTAGTCCCAAGTCCACTGGCTGAACAGACGACCATCTTTTCATTGTATATGCTTGTCTCCTGTGTTGTAAATAAACTGCATTAAGTTTGGGTTTATATCTGGGTTCTTAATTCTTTTTCTATTAGTGTATATTAGTATAAACACCTATGTTACTAATCTACTAGTTAAATCTTGTAGTTCTCTTTTGGGCATCACTATACGGAATTTAAATGCACATATTAAAAGTTCGAAGGTGTTCAATGTACATTTAAAACACACCACAGGTCTTCCTAGTGCCTAGGGGTTAAGTCTCTACAGCCTGAGTTCTGTACCTGGCACCGGAGCTGACCCTCACACCCCCCAGCCCACCTCTCCTGTCACGCCGGCTCCTCCCCTCGGCGGTCAACAGACCCGCCCGCTCTGTTCCCCTCTCCGGTGAATCCTCTCAGCCTGCGCACCTCCGGTCTACACCCCAGTTCTTCTACACTAACGTAAAATATACCGTAAGTTCTATAACCCCGCCAGGTCTTGTCATTTTTCAAGCCAGCACTAAGGCTCAGAGCGGCTGCTCTCCCGCAGCAGCCTTTCTGGGGCGTTCTTCTCTTTCCGGAAGCCAATCTCTGACCCCGCCCAGCACCGTTACCATGACAATGCACGAGTTCCAGAGCTTTGCGTCTCCCCTCTGCATCCCAGAAGGCACTGCGCTACTCCGCCTTCCGCCTCTCTTCATCCCGACATGCAACGGGAACACATAATGCTAAGCGTAGGGATGATCATAGAGATGCCTAAATACACACGTTTTTTAAACAGACTACGTGAAACAGTCTTGTAGGACGTAAATCACTTTAAAGAGAGGCATTTGTGATTTTTCCGAAGGGTTTAGTTGTAAATGTCGGGAAGAAAAGCCCCATTTTCCCCCGACTTCACTCAGGCACCTGTAGGAAGCCCGCGCAGAGCGGCAGCGTGGGGGCCTCGGGGTCCTAGGCCAGGCACGTGCGGGAGGAAGTGGCGCTGTGTGTCCGCGCGGTGCTCGTAGACCCTTCAACGTGGAGACATGGGAGGCCTGGAAAAAAAGAAGGTGAGTAGAAGAGGCTGGAGCCAGGGTCCCGGGCGGTGGCAGACAGGAGCCCTGGAGCTTGGTTCCTCGTGGCTACAGAAACGCCTGTGACAGAAGGCAGCCGCGAGACGGGGTCGGAGGATGGCTCGGACGGCAGTGACTGCTGCGGTCAAACCCGGACTCTTCTTGGGAGTGGGGCTGTGAAACAGAGCTGAGGTTACTAAGCAAAGCTTCACCCAAAAAGCATGCCGAGCCAAGCATTGTTTACTGGAAGAGTGATAAGCTTTCTGTGGAGTTCACTCCTCCTTCGGGCTCATCATCTCTGTAACACTTGTTATTCTCTCATCGCTTGAACACATCCCTGTCTCTTGCTCGGGACGGATAGGTAAACAGCCAGGGGCTCCCGATCTTCTCCGCATTCATTTCCTAGTGGTGAAGATGAGTCAGTACTGAAGTCCATAACCACATAATTACAGGTCGTTGAACGTGCCGTGAAGAAAGCTAACAAGGAATAAGGATAAGGGTGAAAAGAGCTAGTGTTGTCTCGGGTTTCTTAGTCGTAAATTTAGGCTGAAATATGAAAGATCGGAACATCTTGAGCAAGTTCTGGAAAGGGCAAATGCTTGATGCAGGAATAGCAAGGTAACGAAGTGTTAAGACTCTTAGGTGTGAAAGCTTCTTCGGTGCAAGAACTTAGAACGATGGATGGGGAGAGCCACTGGGAAATGTCTTCTGGCGAGGGTGGGGTTAGATAATCATGCAGTATGTCGGTCACGGTGAGGTGCTTGGAGTTTGTTTTAATGGAGGAGTAACGTGATCAGTTTTCGAGGAATTCTTGTTATATGAGTATCACCTTTGTTGCATGAAAGATTGAGGGGAGAGTTGTGAGTAAAATAATAGCTACTTCAAGTGTTTCCTTCAGTTTGAAAGTTGCTGCTGCCAATGTGTGTTTTTAACTTGATTCACAGTGTGTACTATAGAGAGAGGGGACAGTAGGCATGGGAATCTCCCCTTGCAGCACATATGTTATATGTAAACAAATCCTGGTGTCTTTAAAAAGGTGGCTTGCACAACCATTTTGATGCCCATAACTAACTTGTGGGCAAAGCTGTCCTGGGCATTGTAGGATATTTAGCAGCAGCCGCTGCCTTTGCCCATTAGCACCCACCAAAACTGCCCAATTCCCCAGCCCTCTGACGCACACCCAAGGAATAAAATCGCCTCAGTTGAAACCTCCTATTCCGATGCATAAGCATGGTGACAGAGGTATGTGTGACTTGAAGACTCAACTTGCCAAGACAGTCTGAAACTCATCTTTGTATCCCCGGGACTTGGCTTGGGCCTGATCCCCGGGAATCAGTAACTCTCTAAAGGAAAGAATGAATAACAGGTGTGTTTCATGACTGGGATTATTCATAAATATACCTCTCAGGAGACTACAGATCCATCTGTTTATAGCTGAACCTAGCCACGGGACTTCTGGTATTCCAGAGAAAGGTCGCATTTGAAAATGACCAGCTTGGTTGGTATTGCAGGGTGCTTGGTGCAGTGTATCGCTGCTCTGTCAGGGTTACAGAAATGCGCTTGAGGTAGTAGCCTAATACCACAGACCCAGACGATTATACAAGACAGTGTGCTCCTCAGGGGCAGGGAGGCACCAAGCCTTTTTTGGTCTTTGTTTCACACCTTTTACTATAATGCTTGGAACATAGAAATGTTCCCCATATTGGCAGTTGGGTGAGCGTGTGAGCAAGGGGAGAGGCTTAGCGCATGCTTTCTCAGGATGACCCCCAAGGGAGCAAAAATTGGGGTGTGTGTGTGTGTGTGTGTGTGTTGGGGGGGGACAGCTTAGATGTCACAGTCACTTATGACTAAACAGATAGCGTAAACAGATCTATGTGTGTCTGTGGTGGGAACCTTTCACAGGGCTGTGTGAAGGAGCTTAAGCGCTAAAACAGCTTCTGATGCTGGTGGAGTGGTTATAATGAAAGAAAGTCGAGCACGCTGACTGCGGATTAGGCCTTCAAACTCTGACCTCAGACCCAGGTTTGAATTCCAGTCCCAGCCCTTACAGCTTTGTGACCCAGGCAGGTTACTTCCTTCAGCCCATTTCCACCCATGTGAAATGGGAGTTGTAACTGCATCTGCCTCACAGAGTTGCGGGCATAAGTGGATAATGTATAGGAACCACTAATCTTAACAGTCAGTTCGGTACTGTGTGCTTGGCTCAGCGCCTGATCCACTGCAGCATCATGGTCCCCAGAGTCACGAAGGTGTGTGGACACCTGCAGACAGTGGCTTGAAGAGTGCCGGAGAGCTCTTTCTGTGGTTGGGCTCCCTCCCTGCCTCGTTTCCTGTCCCAGGAACCTCTTAACTTCTTGTCCTGACTGATAATTGCCGCTAATGTGCTGCGTCCCCTAGTTCAATGCCCTGGCTAACAGAGAATTGTTTTTTGCCCTCCTCAAGTATGAACGAGGCTCTGCCACCAACTACATCACCCGGAATAAAGCCCGGAAGAAACTGCAGCTGAGCCTGGCCGACTTCAGGTGAGGTTGGAGAGGGTTAGAGAGGCGTGCCCTGGGGAACCAGCAGTCCATTATGTGGTGAAAACTCGGCCACATCGCTCTTAACTGGGCTGCCACAAACACTGTCTGGGATTCTGGTTTTCTTCCCTTTTCCCCTTGCCTTGCTCCAGTGAGCTGCGCCTTGCCAGCTGCTGTCTGTGGGGAGCCAGACTTTGTCAAGGCTCCCTGAGCCAGTGGCCCACTGGCACTGCTGGGCTCTGTCATCCGTTCCCCTCCTCTCTGGTAGAAGAGAACCTTGACCTTGCAGCCAGGGGGTCTCAGTTCCTTGTGAAGTCACATCCAGATGCCTCCATGAACTGTGGGCACTGGCACCCGCCAGCTACAGTGCTTCCAGCGTGTCCAGCACTTTTCACCCTCACAGCCTTTGGCTCTCATAATCCTCTTCCCTCTACCTTGTACGTAGCTGACATGGTGACTGTTCGCAAGGCCTCTTGACCACCACCCCCACCCCCAAGTGCAATGAGCGCCTGCAGCCCCCCTGCAGCTTGCAGGAGTGGTTATCAGGAACTCAGGCTCGTCGGGCCCCTGCGCTGGGCTCTGCGCTCCAAAGGCAGTGTTTCCTGCTCGCTACTGCTCGGGTCCGGTGTGCCCTCTACTGACAGAAGAAACGGCCTTTGTCTTCCAGGCGGCTGTGCATCCTCAAGGGTATCTATCCCCACGAACCCAAACACAAGAAGAAGGTCAACAAGGGTTCCACAGCAGCCCGGACTTTTTATCTTATCAAAGACATCAAGTTCCTCCTCCATGAACCCATCGTTAACAAGTTCCGTGAATACAAGGTGAGGTCTGGGCCCTAGGGTCTGGATCACCCACCACTTGCATCCACAACCTGTGACCTGGGGCAGGTTGCTTAACCTCTGAGCAAGCCTGTACAGAGGGATGTGGTGAGGATGAACTGAGATTGCAGTTAAGAAGGTGTGGGGGTCATTTGCCCAGCACCTGGCGAATGAATTCCTTACCTGTGTCTTGTGCCCTTCTTCCTTTGCCTGTGGGTGAAGATGGCACTATCGAGGCTGTCTGCTGCGTTAGTTACCCAAAGGAACCGCTCCTATTCAGCTTCTTCCTGGATTTGCTTCCAGGCAACCAAGCTTTTCATTCCACACACAGACATCATTAAATGCTTAAGTGCCAGAGGGGAAGAAACCTATTTATGCCAAATGCAAATAATTGAAAGCAGATTGCTGCTTACTGGGCAGCAGGACCCAGCTGGGGAGGGAGGGGCGCCACCTGGTGGCCACGGGAGGCTGGGCAGTATTTGCTGCTGGCCTTCTTGTCCACTGAGGTGGGTGACTGGCCCTGTTTGCTCCTGGACTTTGCAACTAGAACTCACTATGTTGGAAGTGGGTCCCTGTGGAAAATAGCTACTCAGCGCTGCTGTTTACGACCCCACCGAAGCCATCTTTGAGCCTCTGAAGAGCACAGAGACTGGGCCAGAAGTATTGGGAGAGAAGAAGTTGGTTGGTGTGGAGACCCCTGGGCCTCTATTGGCCGCGGCTGCATCTTTCTGCGTGGCCTGCCCCACACATGGACTTATGGCAGGTTTCACACATGCACAGACCGGTGTTGGGGAGAAAGGTCATCTCACCAGGCCCTGTCTGCCTTGCTGGCAGGTCACTTGGCCTCTTTCCTTAGTTGGAAAGCAGGACTGGCAATGTTAGCTTCCGTGTAAGTGCTTGCAGTCAGCACATGTGAGTGGCTGTCCCTGTCCATCCTCCATGGGCGTGGGGCCGGCTGGCCCTGCTCATCAGTCTGGGTCAGTTGGGTGCTCCTAGGCGTGGGCTGCACACAAGATTGCGCCAAAGGGGCAGGTGGCACTAGCAGACAGCCATGGTCAGCTTTGCGAGGCCTTCGGGGTCCTCCCGCCCGAGTGCCCTCCTCCGCGGAAGAGGTGTCTAGGAGCACTCGGCCCTGGGGTCAGTGTCTCCTCCTCTCCTGCAGGTGTTTGTCCGGAAGCTGCGGAAGGCCTATGGGAAGAGTGAGTGGAATACCGTGGAGCGTCTGAAGGACAACAAGCCCAACTACAAGCTTGACCACATTGTCAAGGAACGGTGCGTTGGGGCGCAGTCCTAGTACTGGGGGTACAGTGGGGACTGAGCCCCTGCTCAGAGCGCTGGCATCCTTTTAGAGGACGCAGACCGACGAGCAAACTGACAGTGAAAATGATTGCGAGTCAAAGTGGGTGCCGGGAGGACGGCTGGCTCCATGAAGGGAACTGAGGACTTCTGCTGGGTACAGCTTGTCAGAGGGGGTCTCTGCGGGAAGGTGGTTGAGCAGCCGTGGGAAACATGGTTCACAGAGAGCAGGCAGCAAGGGCAAAGGCCCTGTGGTGTGAGAGAACCAGAGTTCTGGGGCAGGTGCGTGGTCAGGCCTGCAAGACACAGCTGGACAGCTCTGTCTCCAGCCGATCCTTGCCCCGCCTTCGCCACAGCGTGCGCATTCATTAGTCAAGTCAGTGGCTCTTCGCCAGGAGTGAGTTTGCCGTCTTGGCGGCATTTGGCAATATCTGCAGACATTTCTGGTTCTTGTAATTTGAATGGGGCTGAGAAATATACTGGTATTTAATGAGCAGAGGCCAGGAATGCTGCTGAACATTCTAAAATGCACAGAATAGCCTGGCCCAAAATGTCAGTAGCAGTAAAGTTCAGGAACCCTGGGCTGTGTGAATATCCATTGGATCTTGGCTCCAGATTACACAGACTTGGCTTCATTGAATCGGGTCAGCCTGGGGCTAGCACAGAAAGAGTCCTGGTTAGGAGCCCACAGCCAGTCTGACCTCACACCTGTGCCCTGTGAGCTGGGCAGCCTGAGAACGGCTCCTGCACCGAGCAAGTCCTTTCTAGAAATAAGAATAGTCTGTCCTGCCTGTGACATGCAGCTGTGGTGTGGAACAAGTGAAAAAAGCAAGCATCTGGCTTTGGGCACACCCTAGGCAATAGGGTGTTTATGGTGATCCCGGGTACATCACCCCCATCTCCCTAGCCATTGCAGAATTCCATGTGTGCTGACCTAAAATGAACCTGGGGTTGGTGGGTTTGTCTGCGAGGTGGTACCAGAGGGGGCCGCTTCCAGAGTGCTCTCCTGTTGTCTTGTGAAAAGAGAGGTCCCCGTGGTCCCTTCTTCCATCTTGGCCTGGACTGAAGGCCTGGCGGGCCCTCCTGACTCATTGCTGTGAATGAGGCCGTCTAAGGCAGGAGGGGCCTGGCCCTTTGTTCGTGGCTTTCAGAGAGGCCTCTCTGGAAACAGAGCCCCTTCTGAGCGAGAGAGCTTCCCGGAAGGCAGTTTGGCTGCCAGAGTCTCTAACACCCGCTCTGGCCAAGGTTGGGGACTGTGTTCATCCCCAGGCACTTCTGGAGAGCTACTGGAGCCCGATTTTGAACCAATATTCCGGTCCCATGGTGTCGTTTTCCAGAAGCCACAAGGGTCGGACAAGGCATAGTGACTCATGCTGAATTCTAGCTGGGTCCGGGGCCCGGATGTCACACTCGTAGCCTATCCTCCCCGTCACCCATGCCTCCTCTCTCAGTGAGGCAGCTTCCCTGGGACCTGCCCAGGGTGTGGTCTCGTTGGCTTCCTGACTGATCACAGGAAGCAGTTTCTTGTCTTGGGCCTCCCTGACCTGGGCCCAGTTCCAGCATTTTCGGCACCTGCAGAGTAGATGGAGCTCTGGGTGAAGAGGGAGACATGATGTGCTCTGGCGACCTGGGCCAGGACACGTGTTGTGGGGGACAGGCAGGCCCCAGCCTCCCTGGTCGGCAAGGGCAGCTTCACCTTTCCGCTTTCTCTCGTGGACCTCCCATTAGAGTTCCTTGAGCTGAAGTTTTCACCTTTAAATAAAAGGGTGACTGACTCATTCTGTGGTCATTGACCACAGTACTTGGGACTGGGTAGAGACCAGGTCCCTGCTGAGCAGTGGTGACTTGAGAACCCCGCACTGGGATTTCTCTGCTCCTCGGGGCTCCGGGCCTCCCTGGCTCAGGGGAGCGCGAGCCCTGGCTTAGGGAATGGGGTCTCGGGAAGCTGACAGCAGAGTGAGGAAGTCAGGGCCTCCACCCCACCCGTGGAGCAGGGACTGCGCCTGAGTGTTACCCCCGGGCCCACAGGTACCCCACCTTCATCGATGCGCTGCGGGACCTGGACGATGCCCTCTCCATGTGCTTCCTCTTCTCCACCTTCCCACGGACCGGAAAGTGCCACGTGCAGACCATCCAGCTGTGCCGCCGGCTCGCCGTGGAGTTCCTGCACTATGTCATCGCCGCCCGGGCCCTGCGCAAGGTGAGCCCGGGGCCACCGGGGAACCCTGCCTCCCCCCCCCCCCATCCCGGTTTTCACCCTGCTGCCTCCGCTGTCCCTCCCCAGGTCTTCCTGTCCATCAAAGGCATTTACTACCAGGCTGAAGTGCTGGGGCAGCCCATCGTGTGGATCACGCCCTACGCCTTCTCCCACGACGTGAGTGCACCACCCCAGACCCTGGACCGCGATGAGGGCGTGGCTCGAGGGGGCTGTCGGCACCATGCAGCATAGGCCGCCTTGCTGAGTATCGGCTGGGGCGGGAATGTGCTAGAAACCGGAATAGAGCGGAGTGCCCGAGTCACCCACGCCGGGTGACCCCAACATGTTCTTTTGTCTTGCTTGCTGTGCCTCGTGAGTGATATACTTGCACCTTCTTTGCCTGAGCATGAAAATTTAAGGAAAAGAATCTTCTAAAGTGCCAGTGTGTGACCCTGTATGGTTGAGTGGACAGTGGCCACCAGGCTGCGCACTCACTCGGGGCACAGCCTGGCCCTCAGGCACTCTTGGTCCCCCTCTTACTCTGTTACCACCCACCCCGCCCAGCTGCTTTGCCTCACTCTGCGCTGTCCAACCCCCAGGCTGGGGCAGCAGGTGGGTTGTGGTGGGGGCAGTGAGCACAGAGAAGCACTTGGCGAATGGTGCTGCAGTGAGTCTGCGGCAGGAGGGTTTCCGACAGGTACCCATGACGAGAACCCTCTCTCTGACCACTCACAGGGCATCACAGCCCCACAGGGTCTCAGTGAGTCGCCTCCCAGCATAGTGCATTTGACCCCACTCTGAGTGGGAACTGGTACCTTTGGTGAGGGCCTTGCTGACGAGGTTATTGGTGCTTCAAGGTGAACCAAGGGTCTGGGCTTCTGCCCCAGAAGCCTCCCGTGGCTCCAGCTGGCAGGACCGGACCGCCCGGCTGCAGCGCGCTGGCTGTGTTTGCTGGCAGGTTGCAGTCTGTGGAGAGAGCGGGCCAGTCCTCAGCGTCCCTGTTCCTCCCTGGGCAGGCGCGCACCAGAGGCCTGGCTCTTTCCCTCTGCCTTTCCCTCCTCCTCCTTCCTGCCTGCCTTCCCTCCTTCCTCTCCCCTCCTTCCTCTCGGGCCCTCCCTCTCCTTCCCTTTCTCTGATGTCCCACCCCCGTGGTGCTCAGTGGTGCTCAGACTGGTCTTTGTGTGTCCTCCTGGGTGGTGAATGGGGCCCTGTGGCAGTCAGTCTCCACACAGCTGGCCCTGAGGGGGCACCCAGCCCTCCTCCCTTCTGGCAGATGACTGCTGCTACTTCCTCTCACCAAGGGCTGGTCCTGGGTGGCTGAGGCCCTCATGTGCCGCTCCCCTGGAGCAGCAGGGCTGGGTTCCTGGCACGAGGACCCAGCAGGTCCTGAGGACGGGCTGCTCGGTGCAGTGGGACGGCAGGTGGGACACCTTTTGACCGATGTGCTCCTACAGCCACACCACTGCCCAGTGGCAGTGGTGACGAACCTCAGTGTCAGCAGGTCATGGCTCGGTTGTGGCCACCGCTCTTTCACTATTACTGGGCTCATCTCGCACTCAGCCGCGGTGGGCAGCGCTGGGCTTGCCCCTTCGCTGTGCAGTGCAGCGCAGGAGTTTAGGCATTTCAGTAGGAATCTCAGTTCTTTGTTTTGTTCCGCCAGCTTCTCAGAAGCAAAGACGGGCCCTTTCGTGTCCCCTGCCTGCTGGGTAGGCAGCTGAGGGCGGCCTGGGCCCTTGCCCCAAGCGGGCTGCTCCTCTCTTCTGCCTTTGCTTCTGCTGTTGCTGGCACCTCTTGGGTCTTCTGACTCAGCCTGGTCTGTGGCTAGGGCCTGGGTTGGGTTGCTGAAATCTTGAGTGTCCCTCCCAACACTCCTGCCAGGGCTTTTAGGTGCTGAGAGCTCTCTCCCCTCTGCCCTCCTGGGCAGACGGATCCATTGGGCACTGTTCCGGGCTGGGCTTGCTGGGTGGGGCCTGGGAGTTCAGTCCCCAGGCGCTCACGGGCCTCCGTGGTGCAGGGATGATGGCCTCCGTGATGGAAGCCTGACTTGCACGACGGGGCAGAGTGGGGCAGGGCAGAGCACGCAGGCCGGTCCTGGAACAGCCTGACAGGCGCTTCCCTTTTCTCACTCCCAGCTCCCTCTGAGACGTGGGGATCTGGCGAGGGTCCCCGTCCCTCACTCATGCCCAGAGTGTGCTGGGAGACATGCCACACTCCTTCCCCCGGGCAGGGCCGCTCTGGCAAAGCGCATGGTCCTTGGCACGCCGCCACCCCCACTGTTTGGGTCGTTGGCGCCGTCTTGCCCTGTGCCTGTGCCCGCACTACTGATCACATCCTGTGCCCCCAGCACCCGACAGACGTAGACTACAGGGTCATGGCCACCTTCACCGAGTTCTACACCACCCTGCTGGGTTTTGTCAACTTCCGCCTCTACCAGTCACTCAACCTGCACTATCCGCCCAAGGTAGGACCTCCGCCCAGCCCAGTGCCTCGTCCTAACGGGCCACGGCCTTCTCCCTGCCTGGGGTGAGGGCTGGGCACCCATTTCCTCTGACCTCCCCTTGCCTCCCAGCTCGAGAGCCAGGTCCCCTCAGAGGCGAAGGCCAGTGAGGACACCTATGCGCTGGACTCCGAGAGCTCTATGGAGGTGCGAGAGGCTTCCCTGCGTCTCCCCCAGAAGGGTGATCCTTGCCTGGGGGTCGGGGAGGGCTGGCTAGACAGGTGCTCTTGGAACATGCTGCCGGCACCCAGAGGGACTGCTGTCCCAGAACTGTCGCCACTGGCCCTGCCTGACCTGGCCACACCCTGGCCAGGCCCCCACTGCAAGATCAGCCCTGCACCCTGCTTCTCCCCATAGAAACTGGCAGCCCTCAGTGCTAGTCTGGCCCGCGTGGTGGTGCCTGCGGAGGAAGAGGAGGCCCAAGTGGATGAATTTCCCACGGATGGGGTGAGGACTGGCTCCCGTCACGGGAGTCGGGCAGGGTGTGTTGGAACCAGGAGGCCTGGGGGACTGGGGAGAAAGCCCTTTCCACTCGGCCCGCCCCGCCCTTTCACAGGAGCCTTCGGCGCAGGAGGAGGGCCTCAGGAAGGAGCTGGAGGCGCAGGAGAAGCACAAGAAGCTCTTCGAGGGCCTGAAGTTCTTCCTGAACCGTGAGGTGCCCCGGGAGGCGCTGGCCTTCATCATCAGGTGGGGAGGCGCCAGCGCCGGCTCCGTCACACACGGGCAGCGCAGTGCCCGCTGGCCATGTTGCGGTGGGGTCAGCGTCCACTGCGAGCGCTGCTGCTAGACTCAGCAAAGGGGCGCGTGGGGATGCTCGGCGGGCCCATGGCGGGGCGTGAGGGTTGGTCACGGCAGGGGGCCCTGGGAGAGTGAGCTTGTGGGCCAGCGGGTCCAGGGCAGGCAGCACATGCCTGAGTGCTCTCGTGGGTCCCCCCTGTGTCTAGGAGTTTTGGGGGGGACGTGTCCTGGGACAAGTCCGTGTGTATTGGAGCCACTTACGATGTCACAGACACCTGTATCACCCACCAGATTGTCGACCGGCCTGGGCAGCAGACCTCCGTCATTGGCAGGTAGGCTCGCGTCTTCCTTCTGCTTGGGTTTCTGGGCGCAGTGTGTCTCAAGCCCCGTGACCTGTCTCTGCCTCCCTTCTGCATCAGGTACTACCTACAGCCCCAGTGGGTGTTTGACTCCGTCAATGCCAGGCTCCTTCTCCCTGTGGCAGACTACTTTCCTGGGGTACAGCTGCCCCCACACCTCTCACCCTTCGTGTCAGAGAAGGAAGGCGATTACATCCCCCCTGAGAAGTTGAAGTTGTTGGCCCTGCAGCGGGGAGAGCACCCAGGTGAGGGGGAGGGGACCGCGCTGGGGGGCCAGGCAGGTAAGCTCCACTGCACTGCCCTGGGCCTCCGCTGCCGGTGAGCCTCGGCCTCACAGTGGCAAGCTCTGGAGAAGAGGGCAGCAGGGCACAGCGTCCTTGAGACCCATTTTGGAGTTAGGCAAGAGACAGTAACCTGTGTCCTGCCTTCAGGTGTCACTTGCTGTTGAGAGTAACTGAGCAGATGGTCTGGAGTTTGTCATTGACATTTGCAGAGGAAGCAGCCATGCTCAGGAGTGGGAGGCCTGGCGTCTTCTCTGAAGGCAGCGGGGCTGTGGGCCAGGTGCCTGACGGGCTTCACCTGGGGAGCCTGTGTTACCTTTGATTGATGGGCTGGTAGATGGGCCTCGGCCCAGTCCTCACCCGCAAGGGGAGGGGCGGGCTCCCAGGGCCTACAGAAGTCTCTGTTCATAGGACATTTGGACGAATCAGAAGAGGAGGATGAGGAGGAAGACAATGAAAGTGATGGTGGTGAAGATGAAAGTGAAGGTGAAGACGAGGAGGAAGATGTGGAGGCTGGTTCAGAAAAGGAGGAAGAGGCCCAGCTGACAGCCCTGGAGGAGCAGAGAATGGAGGGGAAGGTACTGGGGACCGCCTGGGGGTGCAGCCTGGCAGCAGTCCGCCCCCTGGCCACTTGCGCCAGGCCTGCTGCTGAGGGGCAGGGGCCGGGCTTCTGGGGGCTCCGTGTCCAGAAGCGTGTGCTGCTCCCCAGAAGCCCAGGGTGATGGCGGGCACCGTGAAGCTGGAGGACAGGCAGCGGCTGGCCCAGGAGGAGGAGAGCGAGGCCAAGCGCCTCGCCATCATGATGATGAAGAAGCGGGAGAAGTACCTCTACAACAAGATCATGTTCGGCAAGAGGCGCAAAATCCGAGAGGTGAGTCCCGCCGCCTGCCCGAGACTGCAGGTGTGGCCGCGGATGTGGCTGCACAGGCGAACCTCCGTGCCAGCCGGCTGTGCCCTGGGGCACCGGCCGGACTTGGTTTGCACCCGGAACTTTTTAATGGTCGGTGCGAAGTGGCTCACAGCCCGGCCCTCACGGGCTTTAGTAACAGACGCCTGGTTTCTTTGGTGCCTGTGATAACGCAGAATTGTAGGGTGCTGTGTAGGTTGATCTGCAGTGTATTTTTCTTTAAACCATCTGGTCCCTGAGATGGTATTAGATTTGTTTCTTTCGAAAACATCCTTGGGCACTTCCCTGACTACCACCAAGTGTCCCTCCGGAGGAATCCTTCGGGGTGGGAAACCTGCCAGTTATGCACCAGAGCTTGCTAAGTGGCCCCTGGGGAAAGATTGTTCCAGGTTGACTCCTCCCTGGCAGCTCCGGGTGAAGATTTGAATGGCACCAGCTGTTCTAGGCGGAGGGATGACTAGTAAGGCAGTTCTTCCGGGTCTGGAGCCCCCTAACTTGCTGTGGGCCCAGAAAGAGCTGTAAAGGTGAGGGGAAGGCACGTTTGCCCACCTGAGTGGTGAAACGTGATTCAGATTCAGGTGAATCTGCTTTTCCCCAGGGCAAGTTGCCTCTTCGCTTTTCTGGAAGCTCTCTTTTTAAGGGGTGGCCTCAAGTAGAAGGGGGTTTCTGTTTCCAGCCCTCCTTCCCTAGTCACCATTTGCTGCCCCCTTTTTATTCACAGGCCAACAAACTGGCGGAGAAGCGGAAAGCCCACGATGAGGCTGTGAAGGCCGAGAAGAAGGCCAAGAAGGCAAGGCCAGTGTGAGAGCTGGAGTCTTGGTGGGTCGAGGCCGGCTGTCAGCAGCTGGCCTTGGCACAGGCAGGCCCAAGGACCCAGGCCTGGTGACAGACAGTCTTTGCTCCCCATCCTCCTCCCGCTGCCAGCCCCCGCCTCTCGTGCTCCTGTTGGGCCGGTGGGCGGCTCTCGCCTCTAGGATGGAACTCCTGCTCTTGGCGTACGGGGGCGGCGGCGGTGTTCCCCGGAGTCAGTGACATTGAGGACTTGGGGGCCCTCACTGGCTGGACCCCCTCCTGCCAACACACACACTTGGACCCATGATTCTTCCGTGCTGAGGTGGGGTGAAGGTGAGGGATCGTGTTATTAAACAGCTAGAGTTTTGCAGCCAACTGAATTCTGTATCTGAGATTTCCTGGAGTTGGAGAACGGCCACCTTGTGCCCTGTTCCCTGGTCACTGCTGAGAGCTCTCTGGGCGGCCCAGGATCCCTTTGGGCCAGAGGATGCCAGAAGGTCAGCCAGTGGTTCCCCTCCTAGCTCGGGTACATTTCCCCTGTGAACGTGCTGTCTGGTCTGAACTAGGAACAGAACCTCCGAGGGGTGTGGAGGGGGTTCCCGGGTGCAGCGTGCACTCAGTAGGGTTGGTAAATGCTCAGTTAACACCAACTGATAATCATCACTGCAGCCCAGAAAACAAAAGCCGGTGCTCGGAGGGTCTGTGGGGGGTTTGAGTGTGACTTGCTTCACCTTTCCTGTTTATGGGCAGAACTGTATGGGCTTTGCCAGCAGCCCAGCTTAAAGCCCTTCCCATCTGGCGGTGGCAGTGCCCTTACGGAGCCCCAGGGCCAGGCCCTCACCAGGGACTGCCAGTACCTCAGTTGGCGGGGCCAGAATCCTGGGCTCGGGGTGGTTCCTCAGCCCTTCCTGGGCCAACCAGGGAGTTCTGAACAGCACTTAGAGCACAGTCCAGAGCAGGGCCCTTCCCTGAATTGAGGCACTGAGGGCCTTGGGCCTGTGCCTCTCACCACTTGCAGGTTCTGTGGACGGATTTGGCGGGAGTGGCTGCAGGCCCAAACTGCACCTCCGCAGGGGCCAGGCGGGATCTTGGCCAGGCTTTGGCCAGTGGGGCTGAGAACTGGGGCCCTGTTGGCTGGGCTGCACTGTGGGTGTGAGGAGATGAGCCTGCTTCATACCCACTCGGGCTTGTTCACGGCAGGAGGATGGCAGAGTGGGGGCCTGGGGTACTAACAGGCAGGGGGAGCGTCAGGGCCTCTGGAGCCAAAGTCACAGCCAAGGGGAATGGCAGCCCCCGGGTGCACTACATCCCAGGGCTGTGGCCGGAGGGTGCCAGGGCAAGGCCAGAGAACAGGTTTGTCAGATAGGGAAAACGCCCTGGCTCCCATGCCGATGTGGAATTTTCCCCATTCCAGAGCTGCCCATTAGTGGCAGGACAGTGGGGCTGCCCATGCCACCCGGGTGACCAGCTGGTTCTGCCCACAGCGGGAGCTGAGCACTCCCAGCTCAGGGCGTTATTCCCCCTCTGGCTGCGCCTCTGTGGAGGAGGACTGGACGCCCAGCAGTGGGACTAGAGGTGGCTCTGGGGTAGGAACCTGCATCCCGGCGAGTCCTGGAGAGGTGAGATCAGCAGAGGCCTGCCGGTGGAAGGGCTGCTGGCAGGTACCCTGAGCTTTGCACCACCCTTCTCACTCATCCACATTCGCTGGCCAAAAAGTGTTCCCTGCTTGCAGACTAGCGCGGGGGACACCTCCCATCAGGTCCCCAGGGCTTCAGAACACTCAATAAAAGTTAAACTAGTCTCCGCCTCCGTTTCCTCAGAACTGGCAGTCCTTCCCCCACCCCCATGCACCCTGTTTCCCAGGCACCCTTGAGTCCCCTGGGGCTGAAAACGGCCTAGCTTCAGGGTCCCGCGGCAGGACAATGGCCCCGTTGGCGCTTCTGAAACAAATGCGCCTTGTTGGGCCGCCAGCGGGGGCCGGCATTGCGCCCCAGC